AATACCGCCCTCCCCCCCTTTGGTCCTAGACTTCAAATGTAATTCATAGCTCCAAAAAAGCAGGTAATCAATTTCGCAAGCCGTGATGATCAAAATGTCAGCAGACTCAAAGGGCAGGTATATTCATTAGCTAGGTTTATTACTGACAGCTAGACTAGTCCAGCTCTGTCTAATAAGTCTGATCTAGAGTGAGTAATGAATTACGTGTGGACAGAAACTGAAATAATTTAGCATACACTTCTGCTGTCAGATTGTTTTCCTAACTCCAAAGTGAAAATGGAAGACAACTCCGCAAAACCAACCTGACAAACATCTTTATGTTGTGATGCTTGTTTTAGGGTGGTTGTTTTTTTTTTTTTTTTTTTGTTTTGCTTTGAGTTTTTTTTTTTTTAAGGGGGAAAAAAAGCATTCAGGTCAGTTTGAACTACTAGTTGGTTAGTGCAGTATACTTAGGCCCAGAGTTGCTATGGTGATGTGCCATTACTGGTGAACAGTTCTTTTCAACAGTAGATATATTCTTCCATCAAGCCTGTCAAAGGGTAGCAGCAGGCCAGCAGGCTGTTGTCACATAGCTCTATTTTGATGCTGAACCATAATTTTCAGAGAACACAGGCCTGGCAGCACTATTTTCATTGCTTGTATGTTGTGATTTCTTTTCTTTTTTCCCCCTCCTTTCAACTGACTGCAATAACAACATGAAAAGTAAATGTACGTTGAAGAATGAAAGGATTTTTGTGGACAACTAAATCACTTTAGTAGGACAGATTGATAGATAGCGATGTTGTGGATGGGGATAAAGGGAATATAAGTCTATTTTTTTAAAAAAAAAAAAGCACTATGGCGTGAGGTATTATTTCTATAGTCATTTGATAAAACACTTTCCATTGTATTGTAAAATAAAAAGCAACTGTTTTGCCAAAATTACACCATTTTAAAATGGAAAGAGTAGAACCATTATTTGAGCAAGGGAAACACGTAGACTTGAGCAGAGATAAAAGAAAGAAGCAAGTAGTCTGGTTGAGAGAAAATAAAGATATTCCTAAGCAAGTATTGGCCTCCTGTTGCGTGCAGGCTAAAAGGATAAAAAGTAGGGGGGTGGGCTATTTGGCAGTGGTCCTGTGAAGTCACCACCCAGCTGTGCTTAGTTGCTCTGCTTGGGCTCTTCTCATAAAGACAAAACTGATTCTCTACAAGTGTCATCCGACATCTGCTTTCTCACCTTGGAAGTGTGCTTTCTCACGCTTAGAAAGGTATTTTCTTCCAACATAATAAAGATCTCTGTGGAGCAGCACATTAGGCCACTAAGACAAATAGCGCTTGTAGAGCACAAAGGAAATGTAGAAGACCACACAATACATTCCCTGTGTCTGGAAATAGAAATAGAATAACAGAGTAGGAAGGGACCTTGGAAGTCTTCTAGTCCAACCCCCTGCCTAGACAGGAAACCCTACACCAGTTCAGACAAATGGTTATCCAACAACTTCTTAAAAATTTCCAGTGTTGGAGCATTCACAACTTCTGGAGGGAAGATGTTCCACTGATTAATTGTTCTAACTGTCAGGAAATTTCTCCTTAGTTCTAAGTTGCTTCTCTCCTTGATTAGTTTCCATCCATCACTTCTTGTCCTGCCCTCAGGTGTTTTGGAGAACAGTTTGACTCCTTCCTCTTCTTTGTGGCAGCCCCTGAGATATTGGAACACTGCTATCATGTCTCCCCTAGTCTGGAATTTAACAGGAGACTCATCTGTTACAATATTGAAGATTTGCCTACTCAAATGAATTTTATCTAATCTACCAGTTGTCATTCAGTCCTTTTGTGCAGTTTTAATGAATTAAAAAGGGGGTGTTTGGTGAAATATTTGATGGTCAGGGGTCACCCCAAAGACAGACACTAAGCAGGATTGATTTCTCAATAAGAAATTTTATTTATGGCCAACTGGAAGAATGTCACTTTCCTAGCAGAGTGCAGCTTGAACAAGGGTTTAGAAAGTTTTTATATGTTTCCACATTGTACTATACATGTATACCAACATATGGAATGTTATCAATTTTATAAGGATACTTTGTCTAGGTCTTAATGCTTATGTGCCCCTCTCACCTTGACCCAGGGGTGAAATGCTCCCGGTTTGGAACAGACTGGGCGATCCGGTAGTGATTGTGGCAGGTGGTTCGGAGAACTGGTAGCAATGGTGGCGTGAGGCTCCACCCACCCGCCCGGGTATCGTTACTTCCTGGAAGTAATGTGTTTTTTACCCTCTGCACATGCGCAGAAGGTTTTGCGCATACATAGAGGGTATGTGTTCGCATGCAACACATGTGGCACATGCATTTCTGAACCAGCAAGGAAGGTAAGCAGATTTCACCCCTGCCTTGACCTAGTAGCAACTTCTAAGGGACTGGAGGCTAAACATATGAAGAACAGTTGCAGGAATTGGGTATGTCTAGTTTAATGAAAAGGACTAGGGCGGACATGATAGCAATGTTCCAGTATTTGAGGGGCTGCCTCAAATACTGGAACATTACTGGAATGGGTTGAATGGTCAACCCATTCTCCAAAGCACCTGAAGGCAGGAGAAAAAACAATGGATGGAAAGTAATCAAGGAGAGAACCAACCCAGAACTAAAGTGACAGTGATAACAGTTCATCAGTGGAACATCTTACCTGCAAAAGTTGTGAGTGCTCCATCACTGGAAGTTTTTGAAAAAGAGATTAGATAACAATTTGTCCAAAAAGAAATTGGGTCTCCTGCTTGAGTAAAGGGTTGAACTAGAAGACTACCAAAGTCCCTTCCTCTTATTCTGATATTCTCCATAAGCATGTTTTCAAAAGCAACAAGCCACTATTAGAAAAGAGGAAGTGCTAAAACCTACAAAAATTTCAAGGATCTTGTATCACCCTTGATTTATTTTTGATATATTATTTATGAGCCTAAGATAATATTAATTGAATGTTTCCATAGCTCTGGAAACAATGTGTCAACTAGCTTCTTATGTACAGACTCATGGGGGAATCATCTTGTAAGTTCCTGTTACTTTAGTGGAAAAGCAAATGATTTTATTTTTATTAGAATCTGTAAAGTGATAGCACTATTCAATTTTCACATATGTAAATACAAATACTGTAAGTCTGATTGAACTCAATGCAACTTACCTCTAGTAATTGTAGTACAGTATATATAAGATCACAACTGCTTTGTTTATGTCCATTAACTTATAGAGAGGTAACCCTTCCCACTTTTGGAGACCATGTTGTTAAAGATCACATTGTTAAGAGGTAGGTGGATATGACATGGTATCCTATACTATGGTTACTATACTGGACTACAACATAAGCCTTAGGGTTTATTGGCTTGAGTCTACACCAGAATTTGAGTAGCATATCGACAACTGCACCCTCCATCCCATGGGGGACGGTAACTGAAGAAATAAAATGGATGTTTTAATTCACTCCTTAATTCCCTCTCCAGCCAAATTCCAAAAGAAAGGAAAAGAAAAAAAGGGAAGGGAAGGGAAGGGAAGGGAAGGGAAAGGAAGGGAAGGAAAGGAAAGGAAAGGAAAGGAAAGGAAAGGAAAGGAAAGGAAAGGAAAGGAAAGGAAAGGAAAGGAAAGGAAAGGAACTTGGCCCTATCTAGTGTGTATGGGAGTTTTGAAGTCATGGATAAAAATACTGTCAGGCTGTATTTGACTTCTTCATTGCACATTTGTACCCCTCCATATGCCGTTCTATGAACAGAATGAACCTTTGATAGATGGATTGCATCCCTCCACTTCACCACATCTTTGGACAAGGACAGTTGTCCATGACAAGGAAATGCATATACTATAAGTGTCCAATTTGCCTGTTCATTGGAATAGATAATGGCACCTTTGCAACTGAAGGTGGACAATATTCAATTTTTGTGAGCAATCAGCTGGCAACCAAAGCCCTCTCCATTTCATCCCCATCCTATCATTTCGCTCTCAGAAGCCCTCATTTCATCCCTTAAAACCCTGCAACTTCTGCCACTGTCCTGGTTGCTAAGCAACACCCATTTCTATTGAATATGTGCCAGCCATGTTTTCACAAAACTACAAATTTACGTGTTATCAGGACACACAACTGAAGGTGTGCAAAAGGTTGCAAAGAAGAAAACACATGAGCTCATATCAGTCATTTTTCAGCATTTTGTTCCATGCCTGAGAGGCTACATTAGTGTGATCCTGTCTTCAGGAGAAAACAGGTACTCCAGCAGGTACTTTTGAATGTTGTGGCTATTGTGAGGGTTATGATTGGGTTATGACTATTTATTTTATGTATTTTACAACTTGTCCAATGTAATTGACGCCAAAGGAGTCTGGGAAGTTTAGCAAACCAAAGAAAGAGAATAAAAAAGAGCAGAATAATAAATAACTAAATCCAAAACAGTACCGAAAACAAACAAACCCCAAATAAAAACAGAAGGCAATAATTAAAAACGCCACATAAAATCCAGGATGGGCTCCCTTCATTAGCTCCTTGATCCAAAAATTCAGTTGAAATAAAATAGCTTTAGTTTCTTTATTATGAAATGGCAGCAAGGTGGGTCTGCATGTACTTTGGGGGCCAAGGAAGCTCCATTTCATAATGTGGGAGGGGGATCTTGGAGAGAAGAGCTACCATCTCACTAATGCCCTGTGAATCTCGTATGAGGGGAAAAATTCAACAGCCCTCCTCTTAATGAGGAGGGAATTCCACCCTGGAGGTGGTTGATGGACTAATAGTAGATTCCATCTCCTTCCCCTGGGCATCTTGCTTCATCCCATCCCATCTTTTAATTATAATTTTGTACTGTTTTAATTGATGATGATGATGTTATGCATTCAGTCGTGTCCGACTCTTGGCGATTCTATGGGCCAGGTCTCTTCACATCTTCCGATCTTGCGCTATTTCTTTGAGGGGTTTTTTATGCTCTAGTTGGTGTCAACTCTGATGGTATCCAGCCACTGTGTTTTTTGGCTGCCTGGTTTCCTTTTACAACTAACTCTTCAGAACATAATTGCTTTCTCTAGTGAATTCCCCCACATGACCAGGCCAAAATAAGCGAGACATCATTTTTTGTTTTTGCCTTCCAGTGACATGTCTGGTGTTATGAACTCCAGTGCTTGCTTGTTGGTCACTTTTGCTGCCCAAGGAATACACAGGTACCTTCTCCAGCATCATGGCTCAAAGGAGTCTATTTTCTTCCCGTCTTTCTTTTTGAAGGTCCAACTTTCACAACCATAGGTAGCTACGGGGAACACGATAGAGCTGACTAACCTACATTTGGCCAAAAGGTTGGTTTTCCTTGCTTTTCCATATTTGGTTCATGTTCATCATTGCTGTACTACCCAGTGCTATCTGATGTTTTCTTCTTTTAATTATAACCTTGTAGTATTCTTATGGTCAGAGTTTCATCTCTTTTAATGTAAGCTGCCCAGAGTCAACTTGCAGTGAAATGGGTGGCAAATACATGCAATAAACAAACAAACAAACAAAATAAAATTAACAGACTGGTCTGGACCAAATGGACATATTTAATCACAGTAAAAAAGTGCCGGGTGTATATGGGTGCTATTATTGTTTTTTTATTGAGTTTCCAGATGGACTGTTCCATTCCAATTTGTGATGGTCTTAGACAGTGGTGGGTTGCCCCTGGTTCGCACCAGTTCTATAGAACTGGTAGTAAAACTGGTGGGAGGCTCCGCCCACCAACCCTGACATCATCAGAACGCTTCTGCGCATGCGCATGGTCCCATTGCGAACCAGTAGTAAAGGTAAGTAGAACCCACCCCTGGTCTTAGATAGGATAAGGCAGTGATGGGATTCAGCCAATTCGCACCAATTCGGGTGAACTAGTTGTTAAATTATCACCACCACCACCACCCTACTATCAAAGTGGATCCTGGGTGCTGCACTGTACTACAATGGAGAAACGGGCAATGGAGCGGCCTGCTCCTCCTCCTTCCCTCGTGCTGGCTGCTCCATTTCCTGTTTCTCCATTGCAGTGCATTGCCCAGGATCCACTTTGATAGCAGCGGTGGGGGGAGGGGGGTAATTTAACAATCGATTCACCCAGGTCCGGTTGGCCATCACGGGAGGTTCATCCCCCATGTGGGGCAGAGCTGGAGGACAAGGATGGACCACGCTTCCCACAACAGCTAACATGACCCTGGGCAAACTGGTTGTTAAATTATTTGAATCCCACCACTGGGATAAGGCATAAGATCAGAGAGACCATAAGAGGGGAAATCAGCAATTATTTAAAAGTATCTTCTCAGGATTGAATTCCAGTCACTGAGGACAGATAGGATTCAGCATTGCAGAGAAGATTCTGACTGTCTGATTCCAAGCAGTGATGAACATATCTCTTAATTGCCTGCCAATGTAGCTGATTAGTTTGTTCCTTTTCTAATTCTTCGTCATGATTGCATTCCATGTTGTGTTCTGTTTGAGCTTTCTTTTACAGGCAGGTCTCTATTAAATCGCAGCAGGAATCCAATGGAATCAAATGAGTAAGGCAATGGTAACAGGCAGTGCTCAGTTAAGCAAGTGTTGCTAATGCTCTTTAATTTTTCAAGCGGTGCAAATACAAAGTCGATGTTGTTTGATTTGTTGAGCTTTAGGACATGTGCTGGGTGCATTCGACCTTTGCTGTTGGGTATGGTTTGTAACGGAGCTTTCAGAATGTATAGTTAAAAGAGTAATGACGGTTATGCTAATTTAATAGTTGATATGCATGTGCAGTTTGTGACTGTTTTGTGCCTTGCTGTTCATAAATGTCCAAATCTATGTAATAACTGATTTGGGACAGTTTTGAAAGTGTGATGGATCAAGACTGGAGAAACATCAAAATATAATACTTACTCAGTCTATCCACCAGAAGTCCTCCAATTTCCAATGGTATCTAACTAATTTTATTAGGGAATTACACTTTACTGTGAGTGGTGGGTTGCCCCTGGTTCAGATCGGTTTGCAAGAACTGGTAGTAAAACCAGCGTGAGGCCCCGCCCACCACCCTGGATGTCATCATTGGCAATCTGCACATGTGCAGAAGGTTCCCATTGCAAACTGGTAGTAAAGGTAAGTAGAACCCACCCCTGGAGTAAATGCATTGTTTTTAAAGTTACTGTGTCCTACAGTCTCATCATTTAAACAAGATACTCAGGAACTAATAAGGGAACCTCCTAATGCAACACATGCTCTGTTTATTTGGTTATGTGACATTTGTTTGAAGTCTGATATTACATCACCCTTTCATATACCAGCTATGACATGCAGTGTCCTCTAGATTGGAAGTGCCATTTATGCTTTGAGAAAGTCAACCTGTGCCATTTTATTTTTTTAAAAAGGCTGAATAAAGGTATCCTGTGGGTAGGAAGTGGTCAAATGCCTTTGTATACAATCCAAGGATTGTCATTTTTACAGCAAATTCTCTAAACTGAAGGATTCTTGGGAGTTCCAGATAGGGGTGTTACCTAGTTAATTAGGTCCAGATGACGTGGATGTATACATGTTCTCCAGGGATACTATGCTGAACCTTGGCACTGGGCCTTCCATAGTTAGTTCAAAGACCATGCTGTTGTCCTTCTTCTACTTTTGCTAAAGAACAGTGCTTGACAATGGGAATTTAGTGTACCAGACTGCTCAGAGTAAATATACTTTCATTAGGTTGGAAACAAAGGTGTTCTCTTCAGTATTCAGGGTGAGATGGGAATGGGGAGAACCAATATCAGGTTCTCCATCTTGCTGGACTGAGATTCAGTTGTTTAGTCCATTATCTTGTCCAAGCACTGCTTCAGAATGCCAGCTGCCTCAGCTACTTTAGATGAAAAAAAGAGGTAAAGATCAAATTCAAGATTGATCCTCTGCAAAGTATCATATCTAAGAGGGAGTTATAAACATTGAAGGAGCTACTTGGCTTAGACCATTATCCAGAGAAAAGTATTTCATTATCTGGCAAGGGTCTTCCTACAGTGTAGAGAAACCTGCATGTGGTCCACTTGTTAACATACATGACATATTTTAAATGCATCATTAGAATTTTTTTTATTGCCTTTAGCTCTGGCATTGTAACTCAATATGCAAAAAAAAAGTAAATTGCGAGAACAATATACATTTTCCATGTGTGTTATTTATGAGCATTGATTTTTAAGCCAATGAATGTAATTATATTAAAAATGATGGATATCAGCAAAATATACCTTTGTTTATGCAAGCAAAAAAGCTGTCATTGCCGTATGTCAGACTGATTCACTCTTATATAAGCATAAAAAATTAGAGCTGAAAAACTGTACTGGTGCATTAACTACCCCCTCCTTTTCTGGGGGAGGGAAACTACTCTAAATACAGTACATAATTTTTGCTAGGCAATCATATCTAGAATGGTCTTTCCACTAAAAATTCAGTCCATTGTCTTAATTTTAGGAGGGAGAGAGGAAAAGAGGGAGGGAGGGAAGGAGGAAGGAAGGAAGGAAGAGAGGAAGGGAGGGAAGGAGGGAGGGAGGGAGCGAAGGAAGGAAGGAAGGAAGGAAGGAAGGAAGGAAGGAAGGAAGGAAGTTTTCTGATCTTTGCCAGCTTCCCACAAAGAAACTCAGTGGGGAAGTCAGCAGGAAGTTGGCAGTCACTCCCACCCCTGCTGTTTTTTTACGCATCCGTGATAGCAATAGCACTTAGACTATATACCGCTTTACAGTGCTTTACAGCCCTCTCTAAGTGGTTTACAGAGTAAGCATATTGCCTCCAACCATTTGGGTCCTCATTTTACCAACCTCGGAAGGATGGAAGGTTGAATCAACCTTGAGCCTGGTGAGATTCGAACTGCCAAATTGCAGGCAGCCGGCAGTCAGCAGAAGTAGCCTGCAGTACTGCTCTCTAACCACTGCGCCACCATAGCTCATTTTGTTTGTCTGTTTAGGTAAGGAAATATCTCTGAAACAACGACCCAGTGGGGCACTGGTAACCTATTTTCATTTTTTAATGAAAAAAAAATGTATTCCTGTATTCCTTAGCAGGAAAAGAAAAGAGGAAGGAAAGAAAAACACATTGAATAAAATGTGTAGAAAAAATATATCAATCTGAATATCAAAATCTAGTCTAATGAACAGCAGGTGATCTGAGAAGCATTATCCTTGGACTGAGGAGGCAAAATTAGGCCAGCAGCATTTTCTGATGAAATAGCATCCCATTGTTCTTTGTCTCAAAATCTTACCAAGCCCACCAATCACCATTACCTGACCCAAACAGGCAAACCATCCATAAGTTACCACAACACTATTTTTTTTTTCATTTTAGTTGCTGGATTGACTTATACAAGTTTTTGAAGAAATGTGCATATAGCCATTTACATATTGCTTGAAAAATAAGAAAAAGCTTTCCATCAAATTTGCATAATCTGTGTACTTAAAGGTATGGATGAAACCTTTAGAAGCAGCAACACTAATTTAAATTGTATCTGAATACAAATACTGCATATTTTACCTATCTTCAAATAGCCTTGGTAGTACTAGGGTTTAAGGCACCCTGTTATTAAGCTGCTTAAGACCAGCTGCCTGCAATTACTGCAGGGTTCGAATCTCGCCAAGGCTCAAGGTTGACTCAGCCTTCCATCCTTTCTAAGGTAGGTGAAATGAGGACCCAGTTTGTGGGGGCAATAAGCTGACTTTGTATAAATATACAAAAGGATGAAGGCTATTGCTGAGCACATTGTAAGCCGCCCTGAGTCTTCGGAGAAGGGCGGCATATAAATCAAATTAAAAAAAAAAAAAAAAAAAATAGGGAACTCCTTTACATATAAATACTAGCTGGATACCCGTGCTTCGCTATGAAACTATGTGATGGGGCTTGATAAATTAACACTTAGAGTTTGAAAATTAATAAATAGTTACGATCGGCCTCTCCTCTCCCCTTCTCTCCCTCAGGCTTGCCCCACATGAGCCTCTCCACTCTATCCCCGTCTCTCCTTCAGGCTTGTCCCATAGATCCTCTCCTCTTCCTTTCTCTTCCTCAGGCTGGCCCCACAGAAGCCTCTCCTGTCCTTCCCTCAGGCTGGCCCCATAGATCCTCTCCTCTCCCTTTCTCTCCCTCAGGTTGGCCCCACAGAAGCCTCTCCTCTTCCGTTCTCGCCCTCAGTCTTGTCCCACCGAAATATCTCCTATCCTATCCCCTTCTCTCCCTCAGGCTTTCTAGCCCCTTCTCTCCATGAGGCTTGCCCCACAGAAGTCTGTCCTATGCTATCCCATTCTCTCCAGAGTTATTTTCAAATTAGGAGGGAGAGTAGAACGTCTAACTAATTAGC